GCAGTATCGTATGAACATATCCTCCAGAGAATGGTATGAACATCCCGAAGCGGCGTAAAACCATACTCACTCACTTACACTGAAGAAAACATTATCAATGAGCAATACTCAAACTGACGATTCATAATCCAACCATTAAGAGTTTGAAACTGTAAAAGCGTGTGTGAATGCGTCGTGAGTGATAGAAAGACTGTTATTTATTGCCGCACATCACGTCGGTTAAGAGAAAGTTAGGGTGAAATATATGCACGTGTTACGTTCCTGTTTGGACATAGAGTAACAATAAAACAGTTGGATATTTTACCAAATATTCTGACATTTAAAGCAAGCAATATTCATTACTGTCTATCGTTTAGAAAGATTCTGAAGAAAATCATGATTTGTGCAAGTCAGAGTCAAGAAACTAAGAAGTCGCAAAAAACAAAACAAAAATATACCTTCATAGAAATGTATACGAGTGTAGGTCCTCTACTGACGGTTAAGATTTAAATGTCACGACAACCTCTTTAAAGAGTCCAAGATTTGTCTGTGCAAAGAACAAAAATCACACAGGTTTGAGTATCCTTAGCAACTGAGATAGCACCTTGATTGCAGGTGCGGTCGGCGTCATATTCTACCTGTGACAGGTAAACGACAGGAGACATAGGTCAAGGTCGACTGATAACTGACACTTGATCAGGTTTCTGTGATGCAAGTTTGATATTTAATCTTTACCGACGCTGTTTCCTATCTATCGTCTTTGTGAAATGGGGCCACGTTTTGACAGTTTGAATTGTGTCAACTGATCTCCCTGTCAGGGGAAAAGAAAGCTGGTTTCCATGGTATTGTTCCCTGACGAGTCCGTAACGTTACATGTGAGACTTGTCAGTGGCCTTACATCCGTGACGCAGCCGTGACGTTACATGAGAGACTTGTCTCTGGCCTTACATTCCTGACGCCGCCGTGACGTCACATGTGAGACTTGTCCCTGGCATAACATCCGTGACGCAGCCGTGAAGTTACATGTGTGACTTGTCACTGGCCTTACATCCGTGACGCAGCCGTGACGTTACATGAGAGACTTGTCCCTGGCCTTACATCCGTGACGCAGCCGTGACGTTACATGAGAGACTTGTCTCTGGTCTTACATTCCTGACGCAGCCGTGACGTTACATGTGAGACTTGTCCCTGGCATAACATCCGTGACGCAGCCGTGAAGTTACATGTGTGACTTGTCCCTGGCCTTACATCCGTGACGCAGCCGTGACGTTACATGTGAGACTTGTCCCTGGCCTTACATCCGTGACGCAGCCGTGACGTTACATGTGAGACTTGTCCCTGGCATAACATCCGTGACGTGGCCTTGAAGTTACATGTGTGACTTGTCCCTGGCCTTACATCCGTGACGCGGCCGTAACGTTACATGTGAGACTTGTCCCTGGCCTTACATCCCTGACGCAGCCGTGATGTTACACGTGTCACGTGACCCTGGCGTCACATCCCCTGTGTAAGCGTTGCGTTGCATGCGTCACGTGACCCTGGCGTTACACCGGAGACGGCCGTGAATATCTCGTTGGGTGCACATTGACAACTGGGTGAGTGTGTAGGTGTGGCCAAGTCAAAATACGCACGAATGACCCAGTGCACTTGACACCGTGAACAGCGGCATGGTACAACCACATGTTGCACTACACAGATCAGACTGCCGACACACCTACCGATAAGATTATAAATGTAGATAAACCGTTTTAACAACATAAGTGTTCCATACATCAACGAGGCCATGTTATCAAACAATAAACCTTTACTGACGTTCAGTACTTGTGAAGTTTAAACCCTCTGTAGGGAGGTAGACGGGTACTTGTGAAGTTTAAACCCTCTGTAAGGAAGTTGACGGGTACTTGTGAAGTTTAAATCCTCTGTAGGGAGGTTGACGGATGCTTGAGACACATGCACGTGCATACTTATCCGAGTATTTAAGTCGAGTGAAATCCTGAACGTATTACTAACAAGATGTATGAAACCTACTTAAGGGATCCCAGAATAGAACCGGCCGTATTTATATGTACGTCCCACCGCACTATGGTCTGCCACGTCGTCACACATGACGTAATAAAACACAATAAAAACGCCACATAGCCACATAAGAACTATTGTTCAGATGAATATTAACAATAAATATACTTGCATATTCGAAATGGCTTAGACTATATATCTGGGGTGAAAATCAAACAGTCGCGCTTGTCTTGGTTTAATGAGAGATTGGAGAGGCATGCAGTTGTCACTTATAGTCTAAACGCCTTCTAGAAGGGCATACACTAGGCTGGATTAGTGTGTAGGTAAACATTGCAAATTACACCTGCCTCCAACAGCACCAAAATACAGTAACGACCACACCACTGCTGGCATTAGAGAACAATACATTTCCTGAAACTACTTATTGTTAAAACAGAATGATATGAACTTCTAGTGAATCTCTTTAAATACAATGCATTACAATTACAACATTAATTAACAATTAATACGACGGCTATATAACTATGTTTATTCATGGAAAGTCATTTCAGAAAGTGTTATTGTACCAGCTGACGAAATATTGGTTTTTGTTAACGTACATTGAAATGTTCGGCACCAGTTGGCATTGGTACTGCAATAGTCTGTCTCACAGTCCCTGAACCACATTAATTTCCCTACTGCCAAGCCCTCCCTGCAGTGCTAAAGCCCTAAATAAAGCAAGTCTAGATTTCCTCAGGTTCAGGTTCTGAATCTCTGGTCTCCCTAGGGCTCCTTTTCAATATAAATGGGCTTGTTTGTTACTATCAAAATTATATATATTCAGAGACTAAGCCTTAGTCTAGTACTGCATGTGTTATGAACCGTTCTGCTACCTGACTCAGTCCAACATCTCGGCTCCGTGCCTGCATGGTGGCCCGTCATACAAATGCTCGTGTATCAAGTACAACCACTGCAAGTCCAAAACAAAAGATTGAAGTTCGGGATGTGTGAAGTAAAGAGTGAGGGAGTGAGTTTAGTTTTACGCCGCTTTTAGCGATATCATGGCGTTGGACACCAGATATGGGCTTCACACATTGTGGGGAATTGAACCAGGGTCTTCGGCGTGACGAGTGAATGTTTTAACCACTTGGCTACCCCACCGCCCCTGTGAAGTAAAGAAAGTATGGTGCACGACTAGTTTTAAATTGTAGATAACGGGACAATCAGTCCTCGTCGAGGCACCCTCCTGCACATTCCACTACGTCGCGTGATTGCCACGTGTTTCGGGTAATCAGCTGTCGTTGCAGGAAGTAGTGTGCGATTCAGGTCCTTGTAAATGTATCTACATACACTTGTGTAGATCTACCGTCAATCTTATCAGACGTTTCAGTCCCACGCCATATACCTGACTCCGTCAAAGCCCTCATATCACTGTGTCTTTCAAATCCCCCACACAACCTTCTCAAGTGTACTATTTGTGCTTGATCCGATCCGAAGAAATGACCATATATGGTCATCACGTCACAGGTGTAACTGTTATCCAATTGAAAAAGTCAAAGAAATCAATAATTGCGCAATTTGTGGCTATTCAGTGTCAGGGCGTGTGTTGTAATCAATAACGTCGCGATCTTCGCTTATTATTCAAATAAAATGGATGTAAAACGAGTTTAGTACAACTGTCGTTGTTGAGTATATATTGCACGTTTTTTGCAAATTATAAATTGTACATTTTTGTGAATTATAAATTGTACATTTTTGTGAATTATATTGTACATTTTGAGGGTTTTTAGTGACACTGGACTACATTACAATAAATAATACTGACTTCCTGTGTTCCTCCATTATCTGAAACTGGAAGGATGGATTTATTGCGTCTTTACTTTATACAGGAATCTCCCATTTCGAAGGGGCTCCGTTCAATATATATATATTTGCTTGGTCCTGTCGAATGTTTATAATACGCAAGCATGTACGCACGCACACACGCACACCCACAACTCTGCCTTTCCAGCTCAACCCCACCCCGTTCTAGACCCCACCCATGCCCATTCTACCCCACCAACTACTACAACCCCCTCTTCCCTTTCCACCCCACCAACACACATCGCCCCAACCCCCACCCTTCGCCCCTTTCAACCACCCTTCACACACACCAATTGCCACCACCCTACCTACAACCATGTTTGAGTTGTACGATAGCTCCATCACATGTAGGTGAGAGGGTTCACCGATGGCGACATGTTCATTGGTGTGGTACCTACACGGCCGCGATATGCAGTAGCCAATCAGCCCCTTCGATACATCACGCCACGTAAGTATTGACTGGTCGTGACTCGGCAAGACACAAATGTTCTCCGAGATTTATTACCTCTCCCGAAAAGGAACTTGAACATTGAGTAATAAAATATCCGTCTGATCTTCTTGCCGCGAGGGCTCCACGCACGGCACAGTATACATTGTATTACACGAGAAGTTATGTTAAATCTTTACACAGGAGGCAATTAACTGGGATATGTCACACATTCTCGGTATTGGGAACGTGCACTGGGAGAAATGTACGACGCACACCTTCCTCGTACGGAATTCAGTTATATTCTGTGTTCACACGGAAGTACATATATACGGGTTTTTTTACCGTAGATAGATATAAGAATTGCTTTGCTGACCATTATGACGTCATGGTAACAATGACAGCTCAATCACATGACGTTATTCGTCCTCCCGCTATAGCCGGTCAGCTCTACAGTTTACACTGAAGACACTGCTTATTGCTGTTTGAATTTGAAGAACAAGATGAATGATATTGTGAGATAAATACAACCTCAGGTTGTGAGATAAATACAACCTCAGGTTGTGAGATAAATACAATCTCAGGTTGTGAGATAAATACAACCTCAGGTTGTGAGATAAATACAACCTCAGGCTGTGGGATAAATACAACCTCAGGTTGTGAGATAAATACAATTCAGGAAGTTCGAGGTAATGAAGGTCTGAGTCGTTGACTGACAGGACAGAACAGTGTCATGTTGTGTTTCAACTTGACTTTATTATGAAATAAATAAAAGAGGCCAAGAATATATTGTTCGGTTTGGTGTGGGAACCAGGGTATCTGCTGTGTTCAGAACCCAGTTCCTGAACAGTAGAGTTTACACCATTAAGTAAAATGGTGTATGTGGAATATATGTACAAACTGTATTCATCCGCGATATAGTGTTGGATACACTGGAAGTCATCTTGAAATACCCGACCTGACTACAGGAGTCTCCGCTTGGTTCGACCCCAGGAAGACTATATGTACAGTAAATAGGCTTCGCAATCAAAAGGGTGTCCCGCAGAGATTAAAGGCCACGTTCTGTTTATATGGCGTAGTGGTGTGTTGTCGTACTTTTGCTTGTTTTGCTCGCTGGCCAAGAACGCAGGTCATGTGTATGTTGGCGAACACTATAAACGAGTAACTGCATACAGTATCCCCATTGATCCACTTAAATACTGAAACATCTGTAGCATCGCCGTCACTGTCATTGTAGTGTTACACGTTGGCTAGTAGTTAACGTTCTGTGATAAAGGTATCACTTATCTTACTAAAAGACTTGTGGTTCTCTGGCTAAGCTGAATATCGTGGACCAACCTTGAAACAAACAAACAAAACAATGGTATAAAACATGTAGCCAAAACACACCCACCCAAACACCTGCCTGTGAAGGATCGAGAATTATTTTTTTTAAGCATCAGTTCCAGCCGTCAGACTGAGCTATATTTAGTAACACCGTGGGTGGAGGGGGGTGAGTTGATCAGAAGAGGAGTGACTCAACCAGGAAGCACAGAACTCGCATCTCGAAAGCAATGGAGAAATATATACCAGGATGGTGTCAATATCCGTCAATATCCATTTGATGAAAACACTATTGTTAATTTCGTCGAAACGTAAATTTACTGCGAATGTGTTTTGATAAGAGCAGGATCCGGTGTTTATCTGTATCTCCCGGTGCGGGATGTAGCGATGCGCTCTAATTGTTGTTTTGAGAAAAGAAATATCGTGTAGACGCATATCAATATCAATACAACAAAAGTCGTGGACAATAATGCTTCAGTGTGTTGTGTTGAGTGTGACGCCGGTTTTAGCAATATTCCAGCCACATCATGACGGGGGACACCGGAAATGGGCTTCACACATTGTACCCATGTGGGGAATCGAACCCGGGTCTTCGGCGTGACGAGAGAACGCTTTATCTACTAGGCTACCCGACCGCCCCGAATATCACTAAGTCTCGTAGGGACATTAGAAAGAAAAGCGACATCATCTTGTGCTGATGAAAGAACACGAAATACCAACTTAACTGGAGCATACGCACTTGTTTCTGGAACAGTTCGGTCAAAGTTCATACAGGAAACGAACACATTTACAGGAAGGATCTCGCGCAGTTGAAAAGTTTTTTCTAAGTCAATTCCTTTCCTCCTCCAAGATGAACCAAACATTTTTTACCCACCACACAATGTGTTTCAAAACATCCAGTGTACAAATAATTTATGTTTGTGGACGAAGTGTATTATATTCGGGAACATAACTATTAGCAATGTGATTCAATGTATTTAAGAAAACCTTGCAAACTTAAGAAATAAATCCTGGTTCCGTCCCTGACAAGACAATCACCTGGATACAGTCACTGTTCCTACATGACAGAGGTACAGATGAACTGCATGAGGCAACAACTAACGCCTACAGCTGGTTGCAAACTGTGTGGGTGTCCGGTGTTTCCGTTAGTTCCGTTATGCTTATAACTTACTAATAATATACTTGTTCTATTCATCATAAGTTTTCGGAGATTAATTCATGTATTGTCCACCTCTGTCTTGCCGCCCATGGAATATGTGGTTATCTCTGACGTCACAGCTGTACAGCCAGCTTCAGATGTTACAGCTGTACAACCAGCTCCAGATGTTACAGCTGTACAACCAGCTTCAGATGTTACAGCTGTACAACAGCTTCAGATGTCACAGCTGTACAACCAGCTTCAGATGTCACAGCTGTACAACCAGCTTCAGATGTCACAGCTGTACAACCAGCTTCAGATGTCACAGCTGAACAACCAGCTTCAGATGTTACAGCAGTACAACCAGCTTGAGACGTCACAGCAGTACAACCAGCTTCAGATGTTACAGCAGTACAACCAGCTTCAGATGTTACAGCTGTACAACAAGCTTCAGATGTTACAGATGAAATCACTCCTGTGATTAACAAACAAAGCCATTCATAAAATGATCACTCTCAGAGTCAGGCACCAAATCTAACCCACTGCAGCCGGTGTCCTCCCATTTGTGAGAACTCCCAGTTGTGAGACACATTAATTAATGGTTCAGTGCACACAGGTGGTGCTTCCCCATCCCTACGATGAAAGCGGGAACAGCCCTGTTGCTGAAGAGTACCCGCAGGAGGCATAGTTCATTACTGAGCATTAAAAAGCATTTATTGTTTTCAATAAAGAACAAGTTAAATACTGAAATACTGAAAAGATTATCATTATATTTACACAGAAGAAATAGTTCATTAAATATTTCATTATGAGTTTTGATTCGCACATATTGATGATTTGCGTTATAATGATGTTTGTTTATTTTTTTAACGCCATTTACCTGAGTAGCTTAATTACTTTACCTTTTAAGCTACCTCCACAAGATTCAGTTAAATAGCTAATCCCTAATTAGCTGGGGTTAATCCATTCTATCAGATAGGGGAGTAAGGTGTGTTTCTTTGCTACTTACCTTCTCCACTGTCTCACAACCGGGAGTCTCACAACTGGAGTTCTCACAAATGGGAGTAGACCTTGCAGCCACCGCGGGCTTCAACGAAAGTCTGAAAACTGGTAGTCTGGGTAGCATACTCCGTGTACCCCTCTGACAAGTGTAAACTGGCACGGCTCCCAGGCCTAAAGCTATAAATACACAAAAAGTGTAACAAATGTAACCTATGTTATACATACTACTGATCGTGAAGTACTTTAGCCAGTGTTTAGTGTAGCAGTCCTTCTGTCGGCCGAAGTCAGTCACTCCTTGCCGGTGTTTATTCACAGATATAGCTGATAAGGCGTGTTATTCACAAAAGTATGTTTATTTATATATATTTCAGTTTGATTCGTCCATCACCATCTATTCTGGGAGATACCCGCCAATAACATCCATCGCTCTGTTTGTTGTTGTGGCGTTTATAACACTGAACATAAAACAAGACTTTATTTCTGGAGTTTATTATTGAATGTTTGGCTTGATATGACAGACAAGCGATAAACATAGTGAACTAGGTGAGGCTTTATAGAAATATACAATCTGTATTTATGCCCTTTCAAACGATATGAGTCATCATTCACAATTTTGGTAAACATGCACTTAGACGCGTTACGTACGATATGCGGAGCTGTTCGCGGCACCAGTCACGATAAAATCTACGATGAAAATCCTCTATTTCGCTTTGCGAAAAAAGAAAAATAGCAAAGCTAGTCACATTTTGTAAATTGTATCATAACAGATTTCCCGACTATCTAAAGGAACCTGTCCCTCCCTTGGACTGTATCCGTCAGATTGTTGCAATGTGTGCATGCCGCATTTCTTGTTTATACCTGCTCACATTGTGAAGTGAATTCATATAAAAGTATACTATTCCATAAATGAAACGCATAACCCAGAAATCTGTTGCGAAAATGTTGTATTTTCAAACACTCGTCCACAAATAGGCTTTAGTACATAAAGTTTTACATCAGTTTAGAAGAAAGTAATGTCTATACAACCAAGCGGATAATTTTAGATATCGGAGACGTTGAGCGCGATGGTGACCAGTAGCATGGTCCCGACGTTGGGTCTCCTGGCTCTCAACCCAATCTCTCTCGTACAGTTTGACCGGATATTCTCCGAAGTCCAGGCACCCTGGCTGCTGTGCTCTCACCCGTGGCAGTACAATCACGCAAATGTAGTACCCGGATGTAGCGATCTTGGGCTGCAGTGGTGACTCGAGGTCTGCCTGTACGGGGACGGTCATTTGTTATACCTGTTTGGTTGTAACGAGCTGCAAGCAGTTATATTGTGCTCAGATAAACATTCAGACTTCTGGCAACAGAAAATTGATAATCTCCAGCGCGCATTCTTTCAAAGGCGATGTTCTGTGTCGCAGCGTCAAGACGTGGCCTAGTGCTTTGACAGGGGCGGTGGGGTAGCCTAGTGGTTAAAGCGTTCACTCGTCACGCCGAACACCGGGTTCGAGTCCGCACATGGGCACAATGTGTGAAACCCATTTGTGGTGTCCCCCGACGTGATATTGCTGGAATATTGCTAAAAGCGGCGTAAAACCAAACTCACTCACTAGTGATATGACCATGAAACTCCTTCAAAACGAATGCCGATGTCCGAAAGTAATCTGGATTTTTATAGCCAGACAGTGCATGCTCTTTGCTGCACAATTTCAACTGGAAGGTGATGTCTGTTGCGTTGTGGCGATGCCTTAATTCTTGTAAGACATATCATCAAAATCAACATTTTCAGGTAAAGTCGATTTTTGACTTGTGCAATTGTGTAAAATCATGTTATCAACACTTTTGTTACATATTTTGACGTTTGTATGAACACAATAGGTAATTAATAGATTTTTAAAATACAAAACGCCTATGGGTTTCTTTTTTCTTTTCTTTTTTTGATAGTATATATATACTGACAGAAACAAATAAAGGATCACAGGAAAATTCAAATGTTCCTTTAATATTACCCAGTTTTCATCACCAGCTTTGAATAGCGCTGTGGGAGGAAATCAGAGAATAAATAAAGGTACACTACCATGAAGTGGAGTTCCCCTATTTGTTTCCCCTAGTATATGTCAACTCACTTCATAGACCGCTGATTTTATCATGGACACTAAACGCTGTAGGCGACAATACGAAACCGGTGGTCGACATTGTTCAGTGCAAGAATACAACACTAGCGCCGACCTTTATAATATCAGCCAACGGTGTTGCGAGCGTGGCTTGATGTTTTTTAGATTTATGTAAACATAAACACTGTAAAATTAACTTGGTCATCAGTCGATTGCAACTGTGGGTGAGTTTGGTGAATGAAGAACTTAGAATCACTTGCAGTTTGCCTGATTATTATGCTAGTACTTCATTGGTGTGACCTGCTAGCACCAATATGGCCGGTATTTCACGGTTATCTGCTTCACTGTCAGGAAAGTCCAAACCATTGCATGTCACTGTTCATATAGGAAACTTAGGGCTACACATATTGTAAGTCTGTACTAACGTAGTGACGTTACGGTCGTCCTAATGCTGCGATTGCTCTGTGAATGCGGACAGAGGTCTCAGATGACCTCCATGTTGGCGTGGAACCCGCGCGGCAGGGCGCAGCAGCACCTACAAACATTCTACACAGGGGACGCAACTCTGCAAGGGAATGGTGGAGAGTTGTCTTACATTTATGTTGGTGAGAACCCAATTTGGAATAACTGTTTTTAAATACATGTGCGAGATCCAATGCCCATGATTGCTTCTGCACAGCGATGGCCTAAGGTGTTCTTCTGACGGATTTCTTGACTGTAATGTATTGATACGGTAATCTTAGTCGGCCGCACCCATATAGTGGAGACTTTATGGCTAAGTCTAATGATAATTCTATGTCGTTCCAATGACGTGACCGATTTTTAGTCGAACTGACCTTGATGCTGAGATGAACGCGTGTCGACTGTCCTCGTAACGAGACATCAATAGCAAGCTGCATCCGTTGATCTATCCACCCACCCACTCTCTCGCTCACTTACTCATTCACTCACCCATGTATACAGCCGTCCACGCACCCACCAATCAAACCGTCTATCCAGTCACGCACTCACTCGCCTACTCACTCACTCACACATCCATCCAACCATCATTCGATTCACCTCTCGATCCATCCATCCACCCACTCATAGAACCATCCATCCATCCATTCACCCACTCACCCAACCATCCATCTACCCACTCATCCAACCATCCATCAGTCCATCCACTCATCCAACCATCCATCCACCCACTCATCCAACCATCCATCCATCCATCCAACCACTCATCCAACCATCCATCTATCCATCCACCCACTCATCCAACCATCCATCAATCCATCCACCCACTCATCCATCAGTCCATCCACCCACTCATCCAACCATCCATCAATCCATCCACTCATCCAACCATCCATCCACCCACTCATCAAACCATCCATCAATCCATCCAACCACTCATCCAACCATCCATCAATCCATCCAACCACTCACTCACCCAACCATCCATCCACCCACTCATCCAACCATCCATCAATCCATCCACTCATCCAACCATCCATCAGTCCATCCACCCACTCATCCAACCATCCATCAATCCATCCACCCACTCATCCAACCATCCATCAATCCATCCAACCACTCATCCAACCATCCATCAATCCATCCACCCACTCATCCAACCATCCATCAATCCATCCACCCACTCATCCAACCATCCATCAATCCATCCACCCACTCATCCATCAGTCCATCCACCCACTCATCCAACCATCCATCAATCCATACACCCACTCATCCAACCATCCATCAATCCATTCAACATCCATCCATCCATCAATCACTCACTCATCCAACCATCCATCATCCAACCATCCGTCAATCCATCCACCCACTCATCCAACCATCCATCAATCCATCCACTCTCCAACCATCCATCCACCTACCACTCATCCAACCATCCATCAATCCATCCAACCACTCATCCAACCATCCATCAATCCATCCAACCACTCACCATCCATCCATCCACCCACTCCATCCAACCATCCATCAATCCATCCACTCATCCAACCATCCATCCATCCATCCACCCACTCCATCCAACCATCCATCCATCCATCCATCCACCCACTCCATCCAACCATCCATCAATCCATCCATCCACTCATCCAACCATCCATCAATCCATCCACCCACTCATCCAACCATCCATCAATCCATCCACCCACTCATCCAACCATCCATCCATCCATCCACTCATCCAACCATCCATCAATCCATCCACCCACTCATCCATCCATCCATCCACCCACTCATCCAACCATCCATCAATCCATCCACCCACTCATCCATCCATCCATCATCCATCCACCCACTCATCCAACCATCCATCAATCCATCCACCCACTCATCATCCATCCATCCATCCATCCACTCCATCAATCCATCTCATCCAACCATCCATCAATCCATACACCCACTCATCCAACCATCCATCAATCCATCCACTCTCATCCAACCATCCATCCATCCACCTACTCATCCAACCATCCATCAATCCATCCACTCATCCAACCATCCATCCAACTCATCCAACCATCCATCAATCCATCCTCACTCCCAACCATCCATCAATCCATCCACCCACTCATCCATCAGTCCATCCACCCACTCATCCAACCATCCATCAATCCATCCACCCACTCATCCATCAGTCCATCCACCCACTCATCCAACCATCCATCAATCCATCCACCCACTCATCCAACCATCCGTCAATCCATCCACCCACTCATCCTACCATCCATCAATCCATCCACCCACTCATCCAACCATCCATCCACCCACTCATCCAACCATCCATCAATCCATCCACCCACTCATCCATCAGTCCATCCACCCACTCATCCAACCATCCATCAATCCATACACCCACTCATCCAACCATCCATCAGTCCATCCACCCACTCATCCAACCATCTATCAATCCATCCACCCACTCATCCAACCATCCATCAATCCATCCACCCACTCATCCATCAATCCATCCACCCACTCATCCAACCATCCATCAATCCATACACCCACTCATCCAACCATCCATCAATCCATTCACTCACTCATCCAACCATCCGTCAATCCATCCACCCACTCATCAAACC